CTGTCTATGAGTCAATCTATCTATCTATGGGTCGACCTATCTATGGGTCTGTCTATGTCTCTATGTATCTATGTATCTATGTATCTATCTATCTATCTATCTATGTCTACAGTTTGACTCTGCTGGAGTTTGTTGTGAGTTACAGGGGGAACTTGTGTTTAGTGGTGTCCACAGTCAAGGGCCTACATATTCAATTATTTAGCAGGGTTACTTGGATTTTGAGAACTCGCGATAAATAAAACATGCACTTCCACAGCTGCCTCCAATCTCAAACAAATTCTCCGAGAACTCGTAATATGTTTCTGCAAATGAACTATTAATTGTGTAAATCTTTGAAGAATTTCCAGCCTGAGTCCGATTAATGTTGTCCATGGAAATAGCGGCCAAAGAAATGTTAAAAATGAGGGTGAAGATAAAGTCATTGGTGGCATTTATTACTACCAGAGCAGATTTCCTGAGTTTTTTTCCTTCCCAAAACTTGAAAAATGTCATTACTGCACTGGTATTGAGAGAGGAGAAGCATGGGTCTACTTAGCAGAGTACTACAGTCATATCAATTTTCTCTCATGCTACCACACATTGCAAACAGACCCCAAGAAAAGTAAATGAACGCTCAAATTCTGCTTATATCAGAATTATATCAGAAGTAAGTAGCTTCTGTTTCACCTACCCTGTATTCATCCACCCCCCTCCATGTTCACAAATGTGTAGCCAGAGACCTCTGATGTTTATCGTGACATCTTCCACTTCCCTTTGATTTGTTAAACGTTATGATTTATTAATGAAAGAGGATGCAAATATAGCTGCTGTTTTGTGCTGTGCGTTACACTTCTGCTACAGCTTCAAGACACACTGATGTATCTGTACTCAAACAAGCCCTCTGTGAACCGGAATACCACTAATGGCAGCTAATAGAGGAAACATTCAATTACAAAAAAAATCTTCTTTTTTTGTTATATAGAGATAACATAATTTACTATTGTTCCCGAAGGCAACATTCTGTGGTCTGACTGCACTTCCTCTCAGTTGTATTTATCATATGAGCTTGGGGGAGATGAAGAAAAATAAAACTGCCTATTAATAATTCATTTCAGCATGTAGTGTTATGTACAGTAGCAGCAGGTTTATTTGAGGAAATGCGAAGATACACCCCAAGGCAAGCTGATAATTTTTGTTTCCTTTTTTTTTATGTACTGGCAAGCTCAAGTAAAACAAATCTGGCCTAGTGGCCCAGAAGAGCTAAACTGGGGGACAAAAGTACACAAATTACAAATGGCTTCTTGAACTGTCTCTCATTCCTTTAAATGACTGTTGAGACCAACTGCATCTAGTTGCTGAGCTGCTCAATCCTGTCAGCAAGCGGCTTCAGTACATACAGGTTTACCAAACTCATTCCATAGAAAGCTCCAGAGGAAAGCAGTTATCTAAAGATGAAGGGAGAGGGAGAAAAATGAAATAAAGAGCGCTTTTCTATTCATTGCCTCAGTGGCCACTGAAGTGTGGGAGCAATTTCAATACAATATACAGCAGAGGCTTTGATAAGACTTTTCGGTAGAATCCTTAAAAACAGCCCAAGCCCAGTTACATGTGCATCTGTGTGTTTGTGTGCACGAGCGTGTGTGTGTGTCCATGTGTGTCTGTGTGTGTGTTTCTAGGAGGAAGGGTGTTTCAAGGTTCGGACAAATGCAAGATTGTCCCGCTCATAAAAGAGAGGGGCTCTGTCACGGAGCCTGCCAGCTAAAGGCTTAAATCACATGCCTGGAATGCACAATGACGTTACACCCACTCACACACACACAATCTCCCTAAATTATGCAGAGTAAGACCATTCCTGGAAGCACCCATTTTCAACATCTGCTGCAGCTACACTGTTGGCATGCACAAGCTCAACCTAAACAGATCAAAGCAGTGAACATTTTATCTCCTATATTGTATAGGCGCCACTTAAATGATCACAGTCACACCTCTTAACTGCTTTTTTTAAAGCATCCTTTAATTTGCTCAAAAGGTTTATGGCTGCCAGTCATTTTAAGAATCCATTCAAAGAGGTTGGATTATTACCAATTGTTAAAAGAGCGCCTTGCATTTTCTAATTTACATGCAGCAAAACTATGTGCGAATTTACATGGTTTCAGTGTCTGCTTGGTGGAATCAGTGACTCATTTCAGACACTTGTAATAAAACAGTGTCATGCAGGCGATTCCAGAAAATTATTCTATATTCCACGTGTTTGTAATGTATTCATGTCTGACATTTTTCATTAGCGTAGCAGGAGCCTCCCCACCGAGTGACAAGTGACAATGTCAAGTCAGCAGAGACTGGAGCCCCTTTTTTCCTTGACACCCTCATCTCAATGCCACCCTACACAAGGCAGAATGCCGCCACCTAAAGGCGACTTTTATAGCCTTTCAGACTCCCCCTTTGCCTCTGTACCACCTGCACCTTATTAACATGGATGGTCTCCCACCGAGACAGGATTCGGTTTAATTAGAGTTTCATGGTGAATCAAATTACTACACTCAAAACTTATCAAAACAAATCAATATGATAAATTATGGGCCATTTAAAAGTAATGACACAGGAGTCTTGTAATGTTTGGTAACAGAGAGGGCAGCTTCTCGGGGGGAAAAAAAAAAAAAAAAGGTAGGAGGAAAGCAGCGGAGAAACTTGTGAGGCAGTCAGTGGGCCACAGTCTGGCACAGCTGCTGGAGCCAAACATAATGTGGGACAAAATCCTAAAACGTATTCAAGATGGAGTGGGCGCGGGCTCGCTCTTTGGAGCAATTTACTGAAATCCCTTCTTCCTGAGCACTGAGGAATTTTGCAGCAGATTGGTTTTAACCTTGATTCCACACTAAGTAATTCCCTTCAACGCCTTAAGCGGAATTAGGCATCATTACGTATCATCCATCTCCTTATCCCAGGAATTCTCTTTAGAAATGAAATGAAGCTCTCCACTGGGCCGGGTGCTGGCACGGTGGTGACAATGATAAGGCCAGCAGAGCTCTGCTGATATGTTCATATTATTCCCCTCTCCCAGCTAGAGACCAAGCCCAGCCTGTCTGCCAGTGCACCACTATAAAACATCATTAGAGGCCAGCAGCAATGTGGAGAGAGACTGGGAGTTGCAGGCAGCTACAGTAGCCCCACTAGGTGCGAATGAAGACAGCAGCACTAAGGTGCCCTTGTGAAACTGACTGGGCAGGCGATATGCTCTCCCGCTTTATCCATCTCTTTATTTATTTTTCCTATTTAGCCTCTCCTCCCATGGCAACTGTAGTGACAGATGGGCTGAGAGGCCTTGGGATCGATGGAAGGGGAATTCTGTCTTTGTTTCCTGACATTTTTCCCATAGCCACTCTCCTCTGACTCAGGTTACTTACTGTCCACACGAACGGAGAGAGGAGGCAGAAGTAGGGGGGGGAGGGAGAAAAGTGATACGCTTCTGTACAGATTCTGAAGAAACTTAATGCCTCAGGCCATCTCCCTCTACACAGGTTTCTGTTGAATAATACAATAGAGCACCCTGCACGCCTGATGCGTCGAGGGGACCCTCTGTAAACAAGACACTAAGGAATGTGTTGTTGCAGCTCTTGCTTGTTTTCCCTTTGACAGTCTGAAGGGGGAGAGAAAAGTAAGTGCACAAAATGGATGTGCAACAGCCTCGCACAGTCAAATTCATCATCACGATTCCCTACATTAGCAGAGAAACCGCCTGCAGAATGGACCAGCAATTATTCTGTCCCTCTGATTAGGAAGCCTTAATGGTCTTTGTGCTGACCCTTGCCCTATGCAGCTGGCTCATAATAGAGGAAGGGCTGAGACTGAGAGTGGGAGCAACAGACAGTGGCCTTCCTCCCTGGTGGGAACACGTCACATTTGATCACAGTCATCGTCACATCCACATCCAGCGCAAATAGTGGGATAGAAAAGACAGCAGAGAGCCTAATGGAGAGACTAATAGTTACAGTCCTTTGGGATGTAACTGGAAGTAATGTAATTCCCCAATTGGGCCAAACAGTGTAAGGCCACGGGGAGAACGTAAATATAATAAAACTCAATGAGCACTGTTTATTATTTCTATCAAATTCTATTAGGAACATCACCTTTTATTGGTCGACAAAGGGTAAACATCAGAAAAAGGGTTTGTTAGAACTGCCCATTATCCTCAGTGTTACATACCACTGTCTTAAGCAGGCCTTAATCCTCGTCTGACACGACAGACTTTTAATGGGCTTAAGGCCAAAGACACAGAGAAGTTATCACGTTAGAGGCTTATACATCCAAGTACTCCACACAAAGACGTATAAAGTAGCCGTGAAAATAAGTACAATCTGCTAATCTCTAGGAATTAAAAGCGCTAGAGTTAACCACAAGGCGCTATAGAACTTGATGACTGATATGATGTTGAACGGTGGCTTGAAACAGTCGACATACATCCGTCACTGTTCGGAGCAACTTGACTCTCATGATATCTCATTATAGATTTCACCATTATTGGAAAAAAAAAGTACATTAATATGCAATTCTATATATTTTTTTATCAGATTTAGACATGCAGATTTCGTAGGGATATATTGCTTAAAGTGATCCTAAAAAAACCCACATACCTGATTAGAACTCAGCCACAGGCTAAAGTCTTTATTCCACAGGAATGAAACGACAGTGATTGAGTGATTAATGAAAAATTTCTACATGAAAACTGATTTCAAAAGCCTGCCGTGACATATTTCAAGCACAACTGATTTGTGTCGATGTCACTGGCTCTGTTCTATGAGAGCACCAGAATGACTGTTTAATCCTTCTAATGCTCACCCCTCCCTCTCCTCTTTTCTCTCTGTGCTCCTGGGCCTCGCTGCCTCTGCCTGTCCTTATCTTCTTTTTTTTTCCATTTTACAAAACAAGGGGGAAATGTTGATATAGGAAATGGGAGCTTTCTGAGGGTTGTGACGTGAAAATGGTGGCATAACAGTGAAGGAGAGGAGTGCTATTTCTCTTACCTGTATGATGGACATGCGGTTAGTAGGTGTGTCTGTTGTGCTGGTGACTGGGCCTGTGAAGCTGGTGTGGCATCCCACGTGGCCTTGGGGAGCGCTGAGGTTATTGGCAGTGGGCTTGAGGTACATGACCTCTGACCTTGGTGAGCTGAGTGGCAGGCGTGTCTGGTAGTCAAAGTACATGGGAGAGGTGGCCAAGGAAGGGCTGCTTACCACATTCATCACATTCATGGCATCCCGCTCCTCCACCTCGCTCTGCACCAGCATGATGTCGTTCTTGTTAATCTTCTTCTTCTTGCCTTTCCCCAGCTGAGGGTGCGAGTATTCTGCAATGCGACAATTATAGGTACGGATCTCCTTGTTTTCCCGCTTGCACTTGATCGCTATGGTCACCATGGCAGCCAGAAGCATGATGGATATGATGCTTAGAGTCACAATAAGAGGCAGAGACATGTCCCAGTTCTGATTGTCCTTCGTGTGTGGCAGTCCATCAGGAGGACGTCCGTTGGAGGCCTTGATAATGAGCCTGGCAGCCGCAGTAAGACTTGGCTTGCCGTGGTCCGATACTCGGATGATCAATTCCACAATGGGGTTCACGTCGTCCCAGAATGGATGGGCTGTTCGCACCTCCCCAGTCACCGGATCAATCTCAAAGAGGTGCTCCTCATTGCCATCTGAGATCTCATATGTGAGCCTCCCACTCTCGCCATAGTCATTATCCACTGCCCTCACTGTGGTGACAATGTAGCCAACACCAACATTACGCGGCACATGGATTTCAGCTGTGTCGTTTAGGAGTAGGGGCAGAACTATGACGGGGATGTTGTCATTGACATCTAGAACACTGATGCGCACTGTAGCGTTGCTCTCCAGGTGTGGAGATCCTGCATCTCTGGCAAGAACCTTAAAGTCAAAATACTTTATTTGCTCATAGTTAAAAGATCTCACAGCATAGATGGCTCCATTAGCTGCATTCACATTAACATAGGTGTTGACATCACCCCCACTCACGTTGGAGTTGATTATGCTGTAATACACTGTGCCGTTCTGGCCAAGGTCTGGGTCATGTGCCAGAACTGAACCCAGGTACTCCCCAGGGATGTTATTCTCTGGTATTTGAAGAAGGTAAACTGACTTGGTAAAGCGAGGGACATTGTCATTCTCATCCAGAATCTTTACGGTGAAGGACTTTGTGGAGTTCAGAGGCGGAATGCCATTGTCTTTGGCCACAATGGTGACATTGTATTCATCCTGCACCTCTCTGTCCAAGGGCCTGTCTGTCACTACGGTATAGAAGTTATCATAGTTCTCCTCAAGTTTAAAAGGGACATTACCTAGCACTCTGCACTGAAGCTGCCCATTCCTGCCTGAGTCCTTGTCTGTGACACGGACCAGAGCAATGACAGTGCCTGGAGGTGCTGCCTCGCTGATGGCTCCCTGTCTCACAGACACAAAGCCTATAGACGGCCAGTTATCATTCCTGTCAAGCACTTTAACAGTGACTTTACAATGGCCTGGGATTGGATTGGGACCTAGATCTTTTGCCTGGACGTCAATCTCAATAACAGGACTCTCTTCGTAGTCAATTTCACCCTGAATCTTTATGACCCCTGTTCTGGAATCTATGGAAAAGAGCTCCCGGATTCTCTCTGGGGCATAGCCACTGAAAGAATAGACTACTTGTCCATTGTTGCCCTCATCAGGATCAGTGGCGTTTAAATCGATCAGCACTTTACCAGGAGGTGAATTTTCAGGAATTTCCACAACATAGGAGGGCTGATCAAACACAGGGCTGTTATCATTGGAATCAATAACTTTAACATTTATCTGCATGGTACCTGACCTGGGATATTCCCCCCCATCCGTGGCTGACAAAATAAGAGTGTGATGGCTTCGTTCTTCTCGGTCCAGTGGTCGTTGAATAACTAATTCTGGGAATTTAGTCCCGTCCCCACGGGATTTTACTTCCAACGAAAAGAGATTGTAGTCATCGCGTGTTATTTGATAGGTTTTCAGGCCGTTCTCCCCTGCATCTGGGTCATGAGCGCTGGTCAGGGGAAAGCGTGTCCCTGGTACTGCGTTTTCAGAAATGTCAATATCAATCTCATTCGAGGGGAAAGTGGGTGAGTTGTCGTTAATATCCTGAATATCTATTTTGATCATGCAGATCTCCTTGTCATTGGCAAACACCTCCATGGAGAGCTGGCACTTGGGGTTTCTCTTACACAAGGTTTCCCTGTCGATGCGCTGCTTTGTGTACAGCAGTCCGCTTTGGGGGTCCACGTCGATGAGATGCGGAGCTGAGTTCTCCAGCACCCTGAAGTTGGCTTTTTTACCCTGTCCTCCCTGCCCAACCTGTTCGAGTCCGAGTCTGGCATCTTTGGCAATGTTCCCAATAACTGTCCCTGGACCCTGCTCCTCTGGGACAGAGTAATTCAAGTTTTTCAATGTCAGGGCTTGAGCCCATAAGAGGAGGAAAAAGAAAATAGAAAGATACATCCCCACTCCGTAAAAGCTGCTGTAATCTGTCTTGCGTTTACGCTTCCTTTGACCTGTTGATAGTTTGTTCAAATTTGGTGTTTCTATTATTCGGGATCAAATAAAGAGTTCTGTTCATCATGTGAGGCCTTGGCATTTGTCTTTGGGGATTGTCTTTGCTCTGTTTCTCTCTTCCTCTGCCTCTTCCAGCAATCTGTGGTGCTGAACACCTAATTTATATTCAGCTGAGCGCCCAGACTCATCTGAGCAATAATCGCGATCCGGTCTCCAAACAGAATAGTCATTGTAAGTGTTCACTCATACCACCTAAAAAGGAAAACAGAAACAAACAAAAAAAACTTTACAATGTATACGTGTCAATTACACACCCAAATAAAAACAGACTACACAAGACATTCTGCCAGTAAGAAATCAGATCCACCGCTGAGCCAAAAATGAAACAGGGCTCATGTGTAATTCATCTCCACAATTATGGGGGAAGCTTGTCAATTAGTTAACCTTGGGAAGACACTCAGCGCAGCCCAGATACACAGGGAAATTATGATTCCCCCCTTGTAGCTTATTTACTCCATGTATCATTAAAAGCATACAACTCAGAATGCAGTTTTTAATCCATCTCTAATGTGCAATGCAAGAGCTGACCCCAGCGTGATGGTGGCACATCCACACATTATGCTGACTGAAACTGCAATAGGGCAACTTTAATAATATGGTAACACTGCAGGCGTACAACTGAATGTGGCCTATTGTGGCGGCTATTTGAATAAGTGTGTATAAAATGAGCCTCTTACACGCATTAACAAATCCGCATAATCCGGATATTTACAATGAGCCTTATAAAAATTCGGAAATGAGCTGCCAACATCTCAGCACAGCCGTGTAATTCTCTCCACCGATGCCCTCTGTGTGTCTCTCCCTCTCCCTCTCCATCTCCATCTCTCGCTGCAAGATTCAACGGTCCTTAGGAAGAGGAAGAAGCTGTTGCATCCGCATGCATAGACATAGGCTGGGAAATAACTACAGCTTGGAAATGAGCAACAGACGTGGGGCTTTAAGAAGAGACCTAAAGAAGATAAAAGACAAAAGGTAAACTTACCAAACAAACTGCTGAAATAGTCCAAATAATGCGTGCGTAAAAATCAAAACAGTCAGTTCCAGCAGGGTTCAGGGAGAGTTTCATTCCCTGTAACCAGTTATACCACCCGTTTCCCCTTTCTTTCCTCTCTCTGTGCAGGAAGAAAAGCCACAAGCCTCCGCTGCACACGTAGGCTACAGTGCAGCGCAGTGGAAATAAAAAAAAAAAAAGTGCTCCAGAAAAGTATGACTGTAATGTCAATGAGCTGAAGTCCTCTCCGCTGTCTGATTAGGATGCAGCGACTCGCCTTCTGCCTGCAGTGAGTCACCGTGCTTCATGAAAGGAAAACTGTTCGGGAGAAATACTCTATAAGGTGTGGGGGAGAGGAGAAGAGAGAAAAAAAAATCCAGATGTGCAGTATGGTAGATCCCAAAGTGGATATTTAAAAGGCGATCAGTTGTTTTCCCCCAGTTCGAAACAGCGCCGAGTGACTGATTCCCGTAGTGGCATTTTGTCCTTGTCCGCCGTCCCCATCAAAGTCCACACACACACACACACACACACATGCACACACAGAGACAGAGAGGCAGCTGCTGAGGAGGTGGTCAGCAACAACCCCGCATTCTGCTACAAGTCTCTCTGTAGCTGTCAAAAGAGAAGGTGAATTTCCTTCAATATATACGCACAGGCGTTACTTGGTATTTTCTGCACGTAACACAGCCCTAAGCACACAGAAGGCTTCCTCTCACTGACTGAAGTCCGGACACCGCATGGTGCATTAAACATTGTCGCTACTCTTCTGGCAGCCAATGAATTTGAAGAGGTGGGAAGAGAAGGAGGGATTCAAAAGCCGCTTTGGGTACAGACTACAAATGATTGGTGGCTCGTAGTTCACCGGTGGTGCATCTGTGTTTTTTCAAATATCACACTTCATTGTTGTTTACAATAAAGGAAACCGTGCTTTGGACAGCTTTGCGGAGAGACTTATAAGGGCCAGGCTGGAGAGGGCTGGAAAATTCAGTTAGGTCGTTTATCAGACACAGACAAGAAGATGGATTTGTCCTGTTTATTCTGGAGTTTATTGAAATATAGTCAGACCACAGACACAATGTAAAGTGTAGCGTAAAAAAAAGGGGGTGGGAGGGGGGGTTATTTTTTATTTTATTTATTTTTTTGGCATTTAAATATATTATATCATGATGAATCTAACTTTGAAACCTGAGCACATTGGCTTGATTTCTTTTAAAACCACAGGAAGATGGCAATGAGCAACGGAAGAAGAAATGACCCCCAAAAATAGCAAGAAACTAGTAAAAGAGAAAATTTAAAACAAGAACATTAGTACAAAAAGAAAGAAAGTAAGACAGAAAGTTAAAAACAAACAAACAAGGAAATAACCTGGAAAATATACAGTAGTTTTTCCTACCTTTTGTCTTTGTCAATTTTTTTTTTAAAAAATATTTTCAAATTGTTTTTTTGTTGCAATTTGTGGGACATTTCTCATATTTTGTTATTTCATTATTATTTAATTTTTGTATATTTTTATTTTATTTTTTATATACTTATTTTTTAATTATTTTTTTTTTTGACTGCTACCTATTTTGGCCAGGTCTCTATTGTAAAATAGATTTTCTGTTTTATTTTTTACCCTTTATTTTTAACATAAAACAAATGCTCAGTACATCACTTAAACAACTCAGTCACAAATATCTTCACAGGTAGAAAAAAATAGAACTTAAACATCACTAGTAAAATAAAATACATATATGCAGCCATAGAGATTATAGTGCCATTCAGTTAGACCGTTACAATTCACTACCCTTGACTCAAGTACATGGCTCCAAATTTGGACAAATATTTAAATCTTATTCTTGTTAGAAAACTTTAACTTTTCTTTATACCTTACTTTCGTCAGCGCTCTTATCCCCATATCACATGTTGGTGCACAGTCTGACTTCCACATAAGCAGAATAAGTTTCATACTTGTCTGCCAAAGGCAACACACTCGTGGCACCTACATGTAGGACAGCAACTAGTGGGTTCCCAGTTCTTCTCAAAGGCATTAGAGAAACCTTCAAATATACTCTTCCAATAACTGAGCAATTTCCTACAAGTCCAAAGAGAATGTGTTAATGGCCCGTCTGCCATCAGGGAAAATCTTATGCAATCTGTCTTTGGAGTCGTAAAAGAGATTTTCAATCTCAATGGGACTTCCTGGATACTACCCTTACTAAAGGATGTTAACTTTAAATTATGACTGATTGTGTTATATGAGCCACACTCCTGTTTCCAGTGTCATTCTTCATTAAGAGTGTTAGACATATTTCAGTCATCTACTTAAGAGACTTGTGTTTAAACTATAAAATGAATGCTATAGTAAAAATAAATCCCGTACCAGGATACAGTACTTATGAAACTATCCTGGTCTGTTAGGTCCTCTGAGAATCAGCAGCAGTCATTAAACATCTTTGTAGGTAATTAAAAGTGTTAAATGCCGGGGAAATTGTGATGAAAAATAATGAGAGACTTGGATTTGATGATTTCAGCAGGTTTTTGAAGTGACAACAATATCACGCAGTCTTCTACAGTGTTATACTTTCACAATTACAGCTTGAGAACTTCACTTTATCTCGCCTCTTTCTGTCGATCAGTTCCCGCTCTAAAGAGAAGAAACAACAGACTGTCCATTAAAAAGTTTCTTCCCCAGTGCTGGAAGAGGAGCTGAAATTATTAGTTGATTGACAGAAAATTACTTGCCAACAATTTTGGTAATCGATTGTAGTTTTTTTTTTTTTTTTTTTTAAGCAAAACAGCCAACATTACTCATGTCTGGCTTGTCTGTGTAGAGGACTTGAAGCTTTGCATCGTCTTATGTGATGGTAAATTGACTTACTTTGTGTTGTGAACTGTTTCTCAAAAAAACAAGGCATTAGAAGATGTCACCTTGGATTTAAGGGAACTGGAATGGTTCAGCAGATTATTCAATAGTAAAAAATAATCTTTACCTGCATAAGCATGGGCAGATTATGAGACAATGGGCCCCTGGGCACAGATATGCACAAGAACCCACAACCTCTCGTAGATAGGAGCAAGACAAACAGACTTTGTGTTGGTTATGGGTCTCTTTGAAGTCATTGTGTAACTTTTTTGTGTCTTCTTGTGTTCGTTCTGTGTCTCCTTGGTAATTTTGTGTCTTTTTTTTGGTCCTTTGTGTGTCTTTGTAGTTATTGTGTGCCTCCTTGTGGTTGTCTTGTGTCTCTTTGTGGTAGTTTTTTCCATTTCCGTAGTTATTTTTGTGTATTGTGGCTGCTCCTTTGCATTTTTTGTGGTCTTTGTGTGTCTCTCTATTGTCATTTTGTCTCCTTGGTAATTGTCCNATTTTTTGTGTATCTTTGTAGTCATATTATGCCTCTCTTTGCTGTCCTTTTGCATTTTTGTGGTCTATTTGTGTCTCTCTATGGTCGTTTTGTGTCTTCTTGGTAATTTCGTGTCTTTTTTTTGGTCCTTTGTGTGTCTTCAATGTCATTTTGTGCCTCCTTGTGGTTGTCTTGTGTCCCTTTGTGGTTGTTTTGCCCATTTTTGTGTCTTGTTGCTGTTCCTTCACAGTTTTGTGGTCCTTTTGTGTCTCTTTGTGATCATTTTGTCTCCTTGGTAATTTTTTGGTCTTTCTTTGGTCCCTTTGTATATCTTTGATGTCATTTTGTGCCTCCATGAGGTTGTCTTGTGTCTCTTTTTTGTAGTTATTTTTGTGTCTTGTTGCTGTTCCTTTACATTTTTTGTGGTCTTTTTGTGTCTCTTTATAGTCATTTTGTCTCCTTGGTAATTTTGAGTTGCTGTTTTTTTTTTTTTTGCCCTTTTGGGTGTCTCTGTAGTCATTTTGTGCCTCCTTGTGGTTGTCTTGTGTCTCTTTGTGGTTGTCTTGCCCATTTCTGTAGTTATTTTTGTGTCTCTTTACTGATCCTTAGTATTTTTTCTAGTCTTTTTGTGTCTCTCTATGGTCATTTTGTCTCCTTGGTAATTTTGGGTTTTTTTTTTTTGGTCCTTTGTGTGTCTTTGTAGTCATTTTGTGCCTCCTTGTGGTTGTCTTGTGACTCTGTGTGGTTGTTTTACCCATTTTTTGCGGTCTTTTTGTGTCTCTTTATGGTGATTTTGAGTCTCTTCCTAGTCAGTACGTGTTAATTTGAGTGACACTTTGCAGATGCCAGTGTGTCTGGGTGCAAACGTTAATCAATACTTTCTTAAAAACTTGCTGTGTAACAATATTGCTAATCACTGAGGCACCCTGCCACCCATCTTTGTGTTATTTAGCATTTAAAATACATCGTAACTTGTGATATAGCCATGGAATGTCAGAAGATCACAGCTCTGGGGACTTTTAGTGGTATTTTGACATCACTGTTGTCATAGAGCTGCAGATTTGTCAGAGTTTAACCATGCCCTTCATTTGGTATTGCTATTTCAACATGTCAGCTTTGTTCAGTATAATCTTGTATTCGATCCATGTATAAACATGGGTCTCAACCTCTATGACTTTCCCACTGACCTTTCTTTCTGACAGGAGGGAATGACATGAGTGTCAGAACCATTCGTTAGACGGGAGGCGACCAAAGCTCATTATTAAACAGCAGGTTTGATGTACTAATGTCAAGATGTTGATAAGTGATGAAGGTAAATGTCACATCACTGTCTCTATCTGCATACAGTGTGTGTGTGTGTATCTGCTGTCTGTGTGTGTGTTTATTCAAATGTGATGCATATTTTGCTCACTAAGTGTACCTTCCTCTTAAGTCTTCAGGTCGTGTGGGCGTTCCCAGACTTGAAGAGACAAAATGCTGAGTAGGAATGAGCCAGATGTTTAAAAAAATATATATGATAAGCAGCATGTGTGGAAAATAATGAGAAAATAATTCAATCTGCCCCTGAATGAAGTTGAATTATCCATTTTTTTCCTTCAAGACAACATTGTTCCCACCACATGTTTTGTTTTGTTTTTTTATTTAAATAATTTGCCCAAATAACATGTTTGCTTTTTGCCTCGCCAACTGCGCAATGCTACACACTGAGCTAAAACAATGCCTCGAAAACCACCTGCCTTGATGAAATGTCACCAGTGCTGCCAGAGATAAACCTGGCCATTAGCAGCTTTCTTCATTAGCCCAATTAAATGGCCCTCAGGAAATGCACTGACAGAAAGCGTATTTGGAATGGGCTGCTGGTGAACAGCTGCATTAAAACACTATTTCGTAAATTAAATTTCAATCTAATGGCAATGGCCTTTCTTCAGGTGGTAATAAGAGAGAGAAGGCCTCTTTAACCCATTTTTGAATTCGCTTTTTCTCCCTTTTCCTACACTCTCTGATTTCACTTCTTCCTCCCTCGAGCAATAAAAATGTGTTACACTGTTAGAAGAAATTTGAGCCATGAAGACGGACTGCGTTGGAGTCTGAGCTTTTTTCTCTACTCCCTCTGTCAGGGAAGACGAAAAAAAAAGGGAATCAGAGCTGACTTTTTTCACATGGAGAGTTTTTCCAGCAGCAAACTGTCACCTCCTTCACTGCTACTTTTTACCTGCCTGTTGTTTGTCTCCCACATAAATTTTTCCATGTTGCCGTCTGAATCTGTGCCTCTCTTCTTCTTAACACTGAGGGGAGGGAGGGGAGTAGTAGCACCTCATTGTTTACTTCACTTTGCTCTGGTTCGGCAGAAGGGAGAAGCTGGTTCCTACCTCACCGTTTG